TTGGGAATTTCTAAATTTTGTGTTTGAGGCAAGAAGTTTATGGCTTAATGTTCAAAATGTTGTATTATCAATTAAATTTAACCATAACATAAAGCACTTATTACCAAACACATTCCTAGTAAAAAAATGTAACTTGCCCGCACCTTGATAATTTCATAATATACTAGCTACCTCCCATTAGCACAACTACCGGATAACTCTGTCCACAAAGGCTTGGACAGATCGGAGTACAATAGTCGGTTAACATATCTAAGCAAATGGCCAATAAACTACATAGGAAAGTGGCATCAGTATCCCTACTATATTGCAAAGACAAGTGCTGCTGATATATTACCATCCCAGGTAACAATACAAGACAATTACAAAACAGAGCTGCATTGAACTTTCTGAGAATCCAGAACACTTCTAGTAGCCTCTTTGACAACTTGTCCACTCACGTAGTGCTTTCGGCACACAGGCATATATACGTCTGCTCCTGCAATCAACTCGGTTCTCGTCTCCCCTGTCTTCCTCAAGGTAAAAGAAGCACGTTTACCACAAAGTTCACATCGGGAAGTTAGTTTGGTCACAGTATCAGCAATTGGTATTATGTCAAGAACTGAACCAAAGCTTCTTCTGCAAATGTGGAATATGAATCCAATAAAGAATCAGCATACGAGTACAAAATACCGAGCATAATAGCACCAACAACTTTGTAACTTAGCATCACATTTAGTACATATGAAGTATTCAAAGGAATAAGCAGAATACGTCTTTCCACAGAAAATGGAAGTAGTACCTCAGATAGTCACCATCCAACCCAGCAACTATCACAATCTTGCCATCATGGTCAGCAGCTTCTGTGCAGAAATCATATAGATCCTCAAAAAACTGAGCTTCGTCAATGCCAATGACCTCTAACTGAAACCATGTAACAGTCACATATACTAGCAAAGAAAATTGAGTGATGATATAGCATAAACCATGTAAAAGTCACAATACAGTATTGTCACATGCTAGCAAAAAAGTTCAATGACAACTTTCAAAGCTAGTGCTGCATGATTATATCATTCAAAAATAGACTTCTTGCCCCAAACTTTTTAGAGAAAAATTTATGTTGCTAACACTGCTAGCGCCCCTAACTACGCATTGAGAAACTCCTATGTTAATCATCTAATACATTCACATCTCAATATTTTGCCGCTGTAGTGTTACCTTACTGTATGCTTCAGAACCACATCTCTGTTTGAATGACGATAGATTAGCTAAAGGCCAGCATGGCAATCTGTCCCCATCATGTGTCACAATGGAATCCAACCCATATCTTGTATCCTTGTCCGATTTTATAATTGCCACACTTCTGCAGAGAGGGGAAAATAGCGTGCAGTTAAGTCAGACGATGACATGTGAACATCGGGAAGCCTTGAATCTCTATCAAGATAATCAAATTTCAAGCAGCATTTCAAAATTTAGAAGTTTGCGTGCTTCGCGGATCAAGTTAGATGTCCTCAATTTTCATGTCAAAGTTTTGATATCTAGAAGGAAATTTTTGGCTTTGTAAATTTTCACGTAAAGAATGAAACTTTCAGAATGATTTCATCAATTGAACAAAAGGAAACAGAATGAGCTGGTTCTACTTTTCTGTGCGGTTGGCTGCACAAGAGATAGATCCTCGCACAAACTGCAAGTCAACACGGGAGGAACTGAATTTTCAAATTTTACTTTTGCAGTATGAGCGGCTCTCTATCTTAATCTAACATGAAAAGGTAAACAAGGGAAGCATAGTCTAATATAAAAAGGTAAAAGAACTTGTTTATCTTAAATTCTTAATCTATCAAAAGTAGACATTAATGTTTCCACCAAATGAAGACATAAATTCCACACACCACTTCTTTTTGCTTTTTTACATGACTATAGCTCTTGTCGTGCCAGGTACATGGAATTATGCCAGTTCCAGAGTAAGAGTCACAGGTTGAAACATTTCATGCATTGCCTAAATGCAACTTAGTGACAACATAGAATGATCTGCTTGACCACCAGACATAGCACATAACAAAATAAATAAAAATATAAACAAATTTTACATGAAATGTTTTTTACAATGCCTAAAATTCATCATCTATGGGCAGCATTGGTTAGAATATAATATAGTAGAAGAAACAAAATTATTTGCTAAATTCAAATTATGATGACGTATGGCTTTTAAAGCATTTTATCAGAAACTAGTCAACTCCATTGTTGCAGCAATATAGTCCAAATGACCTCTAAGAGAACATGTTTATTTTGGTAAACTTGTTTTACCAAGAACCGCGTCCCATGAACCGAGATCCATCACATTACTTTTGGTAACAAGACAATCCATCAGTTTATCACATACTTGTTCCTCGTAGAAGCAAATAGCAAGCCCCGGCTTGCCAAAATGCACCTCTTGTAGCAGTTGAAACTGCAAAGAGAACACAATCCAGTTTCTACATTCAAAGGCAAATAGCATCTCCAGAGAAAACTCGTGTGGAAACTGCATAGCACAGAGGCTGAAGCCTGTTTTCCTTTCTGTTTGGACTGTTAGTTTTTCCGCTTTTATAGCTTAAAAGGCTGCTAGCATAATAGCTGGAGTGTGGCAAGCATGGCTGTTTTTGGAAATACAGCAAATTTTCCTCTTAAAAAGACTCTACTCAGTTAAATGGCTGAGGATTCAACCAAGCTCTATCTATACTGATGTTGGTCCTTTCCCTTTAACTCAGTAAATCTGGAACATCACCAGCGTCTTTTAGGACCCCTGCCATATTTTTGACCAATTTATATATCTCACCGGTCTGTTCATGAGCATTATGCTCCATAAAGAAGAAATGCGTTTGTCTTTGAACCTCAATCATACTATAACCAGGCTCCTTTTTCACCCCCGAGTCCTTCATCAGTCTCCTTACCTCTGCAACGTTGTTCCATAAACCAAAAGAAGCATATGCATTCGACAAGACAACATATTTGCCAGCATTCTCAGGCTCCAAGTCAAAGAAATTTCTAGCAGCAAGTTTTACCATCTCGATATCTCCATGAATCTTACAAGCCCCAAGTAAGGCACCCCATAATACTGGGTGCTCCCCGCAACGCGAGTTTTGGACAAACTCATGAGCCTCTTGTAATCTTCCAGCACGGCCTAGGAGATCCACAATAGCTGCATAGTGTTTTCCTCTTGGTCGAAGCCCATAATCTCTCATCATCAATGAAAAATACTCCTTACCTCTATCTACCAAACCCCCATGGCTACAAGCAGAAAGAACAGCAAGAAATGTAATATGGTTTGGCCTAAATCCTTCATCTATCATCCTATGAAATGATTCCAGAACATCTTTTATTCTTCCATTTTGTCCATACCCAGATATCAAAGCAGTCCATGTTATCACATTCCTTTCCAAGGACTTACAAAACACAAGATAGCCATCAGATGGACAACTACACTTGAAATACATGTCCATAAGTGCACTATTAACTACAATATTTCCACTAATTTGGCTTTTAATCAACAGCGCATGTGCTTGCTTGCCCTGCTCCAGGACTGCTAAAGAGGCACAGGCTCTAAAGACTGATGCAAATGTGTACTGATCTGGAAGTACACCTCTTTGTTTCATATTATGGTAGAGACTCAGGCCTATTTCCTCCATACCCTTCTGCACGTATCCTGCAATCATAGCATTCCATGAAACCAGGCATTTGAATTGCAACTTATCAAATATAATGTGTGCGGTATCCAAGTCTCCTGCTTTTGCATACAAAATTAACAACTTAATAGTCAGATACTCATTTGGAACAAAGCCGACAACCATCATTTGCCAATGGACTCTTTTCCCTTTCTTATACGCCTGCCGGAAAATGCACTCTTGCAAA